TTTGAAGGTCTAGCGTTTATGGGATTTTCAGGTTTCTTCGTCGGGCTTGCATGTGTTGGGGACACAGATGCCAACTTGACCCCCAACAACAACTCCCCCCCCCCCCCGCGCCGCAGAGGCCCCCAACCCATTTGAAACATATTTGTAGTTTTCAGCAGACCTTGGAAGAAAACCATGTGGTCAGTTCTCTAAATTGCGGTCCCAAATTTGGGGCACCCTAAATACGAGGGCCCGCCGTATAACAAGGACCCCAAAGAGGACCATTTATCAGAGAAGTGGCCTTGTGTGTTGTTCTATACTCCGCTTAGAGCCTAAAAAAAGTATTCATAATATCCTCTTGGGTTTCATATAAACAAAAAATAATATCCGAGGGGGATATAGTGTTTCCATTTTGGCTTTCAGCAGGACCCAAGAGAAGCCAAGTGAAGCAAAAGGCTCCGGAAAGGGCCCCCAAAAGGGGCCCCAAAAGACGCCACCCGAGGCCCCGAAAGCCCTCAAAACCCCAAGCCCTAAACCCCAAACCCTAAACCCCAAGCCCTAAACCCTAGCCCTAAACCCTAAACCCCAATCCCTAAACCACCTAGAGGCCTTTCGCCAAGCTGCAAGGCGGGCGGGCGGAAGGAAGTCGGCAGAGGCGCTGGGATCATGCAGGCCGACCTGCTAAAGGTTTCAGGGTGTAGTGCTTAGGGTTTAAGGAGGTTTTAGGGTTTAAGGATGCTTTAGGTTTTACGTGCCCCGCGCCACGTCACTGCTATGCAAATGGGGGCTGCGCCCCCCCAACCCCCCCGCTTTTTTCTGCCGGGCAAGCTCGCGTGGAAGCATATGAATCATCTCTGAAAAAAAACCTGGGGTTCTCGGCCCCGCGCCACGTCACTGCTCTGAACTCTCTGCTCCTTGAAACTCGAGTAATGAACACAAAAACAAAAAAAGAAGCGAGCGGGGTGGAATTGCCCTTAAGCTCCCCTTTAAAAGAGTCTCACTTCTCTGGTTTCGAAGAATGAAACCCAAAAAACAAAACACGATTCGAGGGAGGTGGAATTTAGAATACATTCCCTTCTTTCTTTTCGTAAAGGGAAATGAATGTTTAGAGTCACTTCTCTGGTTTCGAAGAATGAAATCCAAAAAACAAACACAAAATGTAAAACAAGATTCGAGAGGGGTGGAATTTAGAATACATTCCCTTCTTTCGCTTCGTAAAGGGAAATGTATGTTTAGAGTCTCACTTCTCTGGTTTCGAATAATGAAATCCCAAAAAAATACATATGACAAGATTCGAGGGGGGTGGAATTTAGAATAAATTCCTCTCTCTCTCTCTTTTCAAATGGAAGTTAGAGTCTCACTCCTCCAGTTTCGAAGAACGAAATCCAAAAAACAAAACAAGATTCGAGGGAGGTGGAATTTAGAATAAATCCCTTTTCTCTCATCTTCAAAGATAAAGTAATGTTTAGAGTCGCCCTTAAGCCCCCCTTTTTTCAGCCCCTTTAAGCCCTTCCCCTTGAGCCTCTACAGCCCTGTCCCCCTTTCAGCCCCACCCCTTTACTTAAGCCCCCTTCAAAGCCCCCTTGAAGTCCCCCCTTTAAGCTCCCCTTTAAGCCCCCCTTAAGCCCCCCTTTAAGCCCCTTTAAGCCCCGCTTGAAGCCCCCCTTAAGCCCCCCTTTAAGCCCCCTTCAAGCCCCCCCCTTTAGCCCCCCTTAAGCCCCCTTAAGCCCCCCTTAAGTCCCCCCTTAAGCCCCTCCCTTAAGGTCCCTTGAGCCCCCCCCTTTAAGCCCCCTTTAAAGCCTCTTCAAAGGGTCTTTTCCAAAGCCCCTTTGCCCCCCCTTTAAGCCCCCCTTAAGCTCCCCCTTAAGCCGCCCCTTGAGCCCGCCTTTGAGCAAAGGTGATGGATCCATCAAGACCAGCGGTTAAGACCTTCAGCCAGCAAAAGGCCGTGAAGGACTGTGTCCTTGGAGCAGCGGCACACCGCATCAGAAAAGTCTGTGCCCAGCCGTGTTGTGGTTTCGGGCTTCTAGGGCTTTTAGGGGTTTAAGGGGGGAATGTGGGAAATGGGGGGGGGGGGGGGGTGAGGGTTTAAGGCCAACTAATTAGGCTGTTGAGGGGTTGGGGGGCTTAAGGTTTAGGGTTAAGGGCTTTGGGTTTAGGGCTTAGGGTTTAGGAGCTAACCCTAAAACCCTACAACTCTAGAACCCCAAAACCCTAGAACCCTAAAAGACTGAAACCCTGAAGCCTTAATATACAAAAAACCCAAAACCCTACAACCCTAAAACCCTACAGCCCTAAACGAAATCAACACTAAAACCCGAAAATTCCAAAACCCTTATATCCTGAAACGCTAAAACCCTAAAACCCTAAAACCCTAAAACCCTAAACTCCTAAAACCCTAAATCCTGAAGCCCCAAGAGATGCAACCCGCAAACCCGAAAACCCAAACCCTTAAAGCTTGAACCCTAAAACCCCGAACATCTTAAACCCTAGAACCCTAAAGCTTAAAATCCCAAAGCCTAAAATCCTAAGCACTAAACTCCTAAACGCTAAACCCTAACCACCAAACCCTAAACCCTAAAACCCCTAGACCCGAAAGCCCTTAACCCAAAAACCCTGCCGAAACCCTAAGCCTTAAATCGAAAGCTCTAAACCCTAAGATCCTGAACCCTTAGCCCTACACCCTGAAACCTTTTGCAGGTCCAAACCCTAAAACCTTAAATCCTGAACCCCAAAATCCCTGAACCCTAAACCCTAAAACCTCCTGAAACCCCTAAAAGCCCTAAAACCCCCAAACCCTAAAACCTAAAACCTCCTACAATGCACACCCCGACCTCAGAGAGGCGCCGCGTACCCCAGAAAAGCTGAAGGGTGCGAGAGGCCTGGCTGGACTTTCCTTTGGGGGGGGGGAGGAGGGCTTGGAGTTTAGGGTTTAGGGCTGGGGTTTAGGGCTAGGGTTTAGGGCTAGGGTTTAGAGTTTAGGGTCTATAGGGTTCACTGTGACATGGCTCAGAAGCTGTAAAGGTTGGGAGGCAGACTAGCGCCGCGAGAGGCTCGTAACATGCGAAAGGCAGCTGTGGCCCGAGTGTGGACGGCCATTTAGCACGTTTATCCCACCCGACAGCGTGTCAGGCAGCAAAAATACCTGGTTTACGCCTAAACTAGCTTCAAATACTTCCTCCGCGCAGGGTTCTTCCGTCACCAAGCCCCTGACAGGTTTCAAGGGTTCCAGGCAGGATCAAACTCCTGCTGGCGTGCGAGGCTGGGGACGTATACTAAGCGGAAACGGGCAGTTGCCGCGTGCTCTGCAATGCTAGTCTAATGCGACGAACTGTTGTCCTGCCCTAAACCTTGAACCCAAACCCTAGAGTAGTAGCGGACTCAAGCCCTAAACCCACCCCAAGCCCAAACCCTAAACCGCAGGTTTTAGGGTTGTGGGTCTCAGTCCCAGCCAACAAAAACAACGCTAAGCATCCTGAGATTCGGAGTGCCACTTCCAGTGTTGGAGCTCGGCGTTTGAATGTCCCGGTTTAGGGTTTAGGGTTTAGGGCTTAGGGGTTAAACGTAAGGTTGGTCTAACAAGTATATATGCAGGTTTACAAGCGGCATACCCTAAACCCTAAACCCTAAACCCTAAACCCTAAACCCTAAACCCTACACCCGTTGGTTGAGAGCCGGTACTTCGAGCTCCGGTACTGTGCAGCCTGCCTCATCGAGGGTCACTACGTACTGCGGCAATTTGTGCCTGCTGCGGAGCTTAGGGTTGAGGATTTAGGGACCCTAAACCCTTGAGTCCCTAAACCCTAAACCCTAAACCCTAAACCCTAAACCCTAAACCCTAAACCCTAAACCCTAAACCCTAAACCCTAAACCCTAAACCTAAACCCTAAACCCTAAACCCTAAACCATAAGCCCTAAACCCGAAACCCTAGACCCTAAACCTCCTGTGTACCTCGTCAAAGCACAAGGGCGGAACACTACACAGCCCGAAGCTCCAAGCTAAATGCCTCAGAAGCCCAAAATGTGCGAACAAAAAGCCCCTACACCCTAAACCCTAAACGCCTAAACCATGAAATCTAGGGTTTAGTTAGCTAACTCAAATTCGAGCCCAGCCTGGGGGTTTAGGGTTTAGGGTTTAGGGTTTAGGGTTTAGGGTTTAGGGTTTATTGTTTAGGCCGAACAGAACCCGAAATACGAAAATCTGCTTGATGGGAACCCCCAAAATTGGTACCCCTACTTGAAAGCCCCAACGATACCCCGAATCACCAACCCTAGGCACTCAACCCATACTAACCCTGGCCCCCAAGTACACATGTCTTTACTAGTCTTTACGCATGGCATAACCCACCATCAGGCAACCACTCCCTGCCAAAACGAAGGGTTTAGGGTTTAGGGTTTAGGGTTTAGGGTTTAGGGTTTAGGGTTTAGGGTTTAGGGTTTAGGGTTTAGGGTTTAGGGTGTAGAGTTTAGGGTTTAGGGTTTAGGGATACAGCCTTCCATGCTATTTCGTCACCCTTCAGCCCCGAACCAGTTTAGGGTAGGGTTTAGAGTTTAGAGTTTAGAGTTTAGGGTTTAGGGTTTAGGGTTTAGGGTTTAGGGTTTAGGGTTTAGGGTTTAGGGTTTAGGGTTTGATACAGCCTTCCATGCTATTTCGTCACCCTTCAGCCCCGAACCAGTACTCGGGCCTGTCAAAGCAAAGAACCGCGGAGCAGCGGGCCAACTCCTGATTCAGCGCTGTAGGCTCTTGTATGGGTGTCAGGGTTCAGGGTTCAGGGTTCAGGGTTTAGGGTTTAGGGTTTAGGGTTTAGGGTTTAGGGTTTAGGGTTTAGGGTTTAGGGTTTGGGGTTTGGGGTTTGGGGTTTAGGGTTTAGGGGGCCTGTTTGGAGCTGGGTCTGTGAGACTCAAGTGCTTGCTTCAGAATCTAGAGTAGCCATCTAGCAAAACCCCAACTGTAGCTGGTCCGGCCAACTGGTGCGTAGCCAAGATGACACCACTAACTTTTATCTTCGTGCTCATGGCAGCTAGCTCGTCTCTTCTGCCTCGTCTGCAAGGAGTCGGAGAGACTTTGGGCGCTCAGAGGGTTCCAGAGGGAGGGTCCAGGCTGGGGGGTTGCATCCGTAGCCCAGCCAGAATAAGACCCCGCCGGCAACGCAAGCGCCCGCCTGCCAGAGGGTCAGCCCCTTCGGGCCCACTTGAATCATGGACTGCGTGCCAATGGCGGAGAGGAGGCTTGGCAGAATGCTCTGTGCTACGATCTCGAAAGATGCCGCCATGCCAGCGCAATCTGCCAAAGGTTCAAAAAACAGGACGTTTGTGGCGACCAAGGCCATCATTCCCACGCTCGCCTGCAGAAAGGAGCCAGCCAAGTAGGACCACAGATACTCGGAGAAATAGAGCCCAAGAACCATCGAGATCATCCCCGCGAGGGCCAGAAGCGACAAAGCAAGTTGCCCCATCCGAAGGACACTGCTTAGATGGAGTTTCTCGATCAACACCTCATGTTGCCCAGAGTGAAATCCCCCTGAAAGAGACTGATTAATATGTGGTTCTCTGTTAGAACTCCGAATGAGGGAAAACATGGGTTTGGGGTTTACATGGTTTAGTTTAGGGTGAATGCAGGAAAAAGGTACAACATCCCAATCGCCTGCCCAAACACGGCACCAAGCCCAGACAAAGCCCCGTAGATGAGCATGACGATCGAAGATGCCATGACAGATCGGCCGAAGCTCTCCTCCATCAAGTAGCTGCTATTGGCATTGAACGTGAAGTATCCCCCCATGATGCAACTCTCGGTCAGCAGCAAACAAAGAAGATGAGGATCCAGGATACGTGCCACGTCCTTCAAGTAACTCTCCTGGCTCCCCTCGGGGCATGATTCCATCATGGCCCAGAAGGCATATGCCGCCAGCAACCCCCAGACAATTGCCAAGCTGAGGAAGGAGAGGCGCCAGCTGAGATAGGCTGCACAGACTCCGCCATAAAGAGGGGCAACGGCGATGCCAACAAAAGCCATCCTCTACTGAACTTGGACCACCAGCTAATCTGATCATTTTTGCTGCTTCTTAGCAAGTATAGTGCCCAAAAAACAAACCCTAAGCCCTAAGCCCTAAGCCCTAAACCCTAAACCCTAAACCCTAAACCCTAAACCCAAAAACTCGTTCCACGTACCCCTCTTAGGCTAAGCATCATCTGCAAAGCCGCAATGACCTTGAAGCGCTCGTTCGAGTCGGCGAAGTAGTCTCGGGCCATGGCAAACACCACCGGCTCGACCGACTCCCCCATGCCTTTAGGGTTTAGGGTTTAGGGTTTAGGGTTTAGGGTTTGGGGTTTGGGGTTTAGGGTTTAGGGTTTAGGGTTTAGGAAATAGGAGCCTTGCAGGATGCGAGCAGCGATGAACCACTCGATCCTGCCAGCGCACGCGCAGCACAAGCTCGCCAGGCTCAGCAGCACCACACATGCCAAGACCACTGGCCGTCTGCCGATGCGGTCCGACAGGCCTTCATATTCCCCTTGGAACCTTAAAAAAAAAGAATAGTTTTGATATCCTCTTGGGTGTTATATGAACAAAAACAAAACAATAATTCCCAAGGGGGATATGGGCCTGCGCTCATGAGACCAAAGACGGCCTTCACAAACAGGTTCAATTGAACCGTACCACTCATCAACGCCTGCGAACCTGCAAGATCTGCCTCCATCTGTGGCAAACTCGGCACATACCTGCACCATTGTTGGGGGGGCACTGTTAATATGATGATTGTTGTTCCTTATTGGGTTTAAGTACTCATAAGAATGTAAAATGGTTTTCAACAATGGCGCAGATACTGGTCTGTGCTGAAATAAATGAAGGCATAGACAACTCCCATGTAAATCAGCCAGCTCCTTGGACAACCCTTCGACACTTGCGGATCCTGAGGCGCTTTGGCTGGCACACCAACCAAGCAGAAGCGGCCACACATCAGAGAAAACACAACATACACCAACACAACGCAGTACTTGCTCAGATTCTCGAAAATGCCAGGTATTTTGAAACTTTGAATATGCACGCTGCCAACTGCAGCTCTCTTGATGTGGAAGAACTTCTCAGCTGCATCCCACAGTGGATGCACCATTTCGTCTTGCGGAGCAGGATGTTGCTTGCCCACCCCGTGCGAGTGCGAGGCCGCGCTCACTGCAGTTTGAAGGAACAGGACACCACCGATCTCCGCGTCGCAGTCAGTGCCTGCGCACTGGCCGAGCCATGCCAGACACAACACGAGAGCCTGGAAAATAGACATACCATATGTACCAGTCTAAGTTCGGTATCGGCGACCCTGAGCCTAAACATCAAGAGCCAGCAAGGCTACTCGACGAGGGTGCAAAGAAACGACCCTAATCCCTAGCCCCCGCCCGAGCCTTAAGCCTCTCAACAAAACCCTAAACCCTAAACCCTAAACCCTAAAGCCTAAACCCTAAACCCGAACCCTAAGCCCTGAACCCTCAACCCTAAACCCTAACCCGAAATCCCTTAAAGACCCGAAGCCCTCTCCCTGCCTCGACATCCAGCAATTCCTCTGCCCAGGGTTGAGGCAACCCGGCCTCCGAAACATAGGAATTGCTACTTGGAAGTTCATGGTACTTATGAACCAAGTGCAACTGCAACTGTACTTATAGCCACATTAGGGCACTTAAGGGGCTTATCAGTACAGTTCTAATTGGTTAATAAGTACCATGAACCTCCAAGTACTGTTTGTTAGTGCAGGGATGTTTAAGTATCTTCTAGTTGTTTGGGGTTCTTAAGCAAATTAGTAGATTACGAACAAGGCTTAGGCTTACCTTGGGAACCAAATGAACCCAACCAGCATTTCTGGTTCATACACCCAAATTGGGATTTTAATAATACAGGATATGATCCCAACTATGGGGCTCATTTGGTACGCAAGGTAGTGTTTCGGGTTCTGGGGTAACCCTCGACCCTGAACCCTAAACCTAAAGCTTTAGGGCCTTGGGTTCATGGCCAACTGAGGTTTAGGGTTTAGGGTTGTTCCTTCCGGGTGAGCGCCCAGAGGCACTAACGAGCAGCAGGTGTCAAGACGAGCGGGGGTTTTTCTAGGGGTTGTACCTTGGATCCTTAAGGTTGTACCCTTGATTTTTTGGGGACCCTTTTCAACGATCCTGAAGGTGGCATAAGGCCCAATATTAGGAGATACATTAAGGGGAACCCTTCTATACTCCCCTTAGAAGCTGAATAAAAAAATCTATATATATATATATGTATATACATATGTTGTATATCCTGTTGGGGTTCATATGAGTTCAAAATTTAAAAAAAAACCAAGGGGGGATATAGATTCAGGGGAACCTTCAGGGGTACAACCTTGAGATTGCGAGTCCGAATCCCTTGAACTTCAGGTGTTTCGTGGGTTTTTGGGGCCAGTTTTGGGGTGTGGGGTGTGGCAGAGGATGGCTGCAGGGTTTCGTGTTTAGGGCTTATAGGGTTTAGGGTTTAGGGTTTATGGTTTAGGGTTTAGGGTTTAGGGTTTAGGGTTTAGGGTTTAGGGTTTAGGGTTTAGGGTTTAGGGTTTAGGGTGCTTCTTGGGCTTCATCCTTCGACCCGGCTGGCCTGTGAACCTCTGAGAACAGTTCGGAGGTGTAAGGCTTTGGGGCACCCTACCTGGTAAACCCTAAACCCTAAACCCTAAACCCTAAACCCTAAACCCTAAACCCTAAACCCTAAACCCTAAACCCCAAACGGAGGAGGGGGTGGGGGGGGGGGGGAGTGAAAGTTGGGCCCACTAAAAGCGCTGTCGGGCCGCTGCGGTCGGCAGCGCCGGCCCGACGGACTCATCAAGGACGATGCGGCAAAGATTGGCGCCTGAATGCTTCGAACTAACCCTTAAACCCTTAAACCCTTAAACCCTTAAACCCTAAACCCTAAACCCTAAACCCTAAACCCTAAACCCCAAGCCCGTCGTAGGACTTGCGGCTTAAGGGCTTTGGGGGCCTTAGCTCGAATGGGGTGTTTGGAGCTACCGGGCGGAGGGAATAAGCAACAGTTGCCCGCATTGGTGTTCTCTTGAGGAAGCAGGGCTTGGGTTTAGGGCTTGCAGAGGTTTAGGGTTGAGGGTTTAGGGTTTAGGTTTTAGGGTTTAGGGTTCAAAGTTTGGGGTTTTGGGTTTTTGGGTCTTGGCTGGGTAGTCGCTTCCCTGCTTTGTCGGCCTACTGGAACGATATGCACCACCAGCGCACAAACGTCCAGGCCCAACAGGTCGCTCTCAGTTCACAGGCCTGTGCTGAAAGCTCCCTGAGCACTGCAGGGGCACACATCCGTGACATGACAACAACACCCTCAACGTCGCGAGCAGGGAGTTGCATGATCGACAAACTCCGGCCACGTCGCTCTGGGCCCGACACTCACGTCTTGTTTTGAGATCTCCGTTTTCTGTACAACTCAACTTACATCCCGAGGTTCTATGATTCTATGAGAAAGTACACGTGATCCATATAGTCAACCCAGGTGAAACAAGAATGTACATGCTGAGTACTTTTTAGTTTTGAATGACCGAGGGAATACAAGGGGTGATCGTATGAGTAATTCTTTAAGCGCCTGTGCTGCAGTCTAAGACTTGCAACGAGCTCACAGAACTGTTCTGCGAAAGCGGTGCTAAACCCCAAACGCCGCCCGAACCCCAACTATACTCTATTGTTCCCCCTGCTATTCAGCAACGGATAGCCCGGATAAAGGGCAGTCGGGGGCGGGGGGTCTAGGTGAGCCCTAAACGCTAAAACCCCCAAAATTCTAGGGTTTAGGGTTTCGGGTTTGGGGTTTAGGGTTTAGGGTTTGCAGTTTAGGGAACCCAAACCCTAAACTCAGGCCGGGGCCCAGCCACCGAGAGGGGCGGCCGGAGAGGCCGCTGCTGTCGCAGCGGCGGAGCCGTAAGTCCAGGCCTGATCTTCTACAAGGGGCTTAGGGTTTAGGGTTTAGGGTTTAGGGTTTGACAGAAGGGACTATGTATAGGGTTTAGGGTTCGGGGTTGACAATGTTTAGGGTTTATCGGGTCCAGGGTTTTAGGGTTTGTAGGGCTTTTCGGGTATGCATATAGGGCTTTTATAGGGCTTTATGGGGTTTGTAGGGTTTTGCGTAAGGTTTCGGGAGGTGACCCCTTGTATCCTTGCGACTTGCCAGAACCCTTTCAAAGAAGACCAAGCAGCTTAGGTATAGTCCTGAGGTACATGGCCTTAAACCCAAAACCCCTAAACCCCTTAAACCCCTAAACCCCGAAACCCCCAAACCCTTAAACCCCTAAACCCCTAAACCCTTAAACCCCTAAACCCCTAAACCCCTAAACCCCTAAACCCCTAAACCCCTAAACCCTAAACCCGGTTGGGATGCCTGGAAGCAGAGCCACCCATGCGCGGACACCCTCGAGAACTGCAACAACCTGTCAGAAGCGGAGCATCCGCTACTGGGACTCGCACGATAAGGGGGTTTAGGGTTTAGGGCTTTAGGGTTTAGGGTAAGGGATTCAGGGTTTAGGGTTTAGGGTTTAGGGATTAGGTTTAGGGTGTTAACGGTTCAGGGGCTTCAAGGGCTTCAAGGACTTAAGGGTTTATGGACTCAAGGGTTCAAAGGGCTGCAGGGCCTCAAGGATGTCAGGGCATAGTGCGGGGTTTGAAGGATATTAAAGCTTTGAGGGCTTCAGGGTTTAGTGTTTTGGGTTTAGGGTTTAGGCTCAAAGAGGGACACTACGGAGGCCACTGTTGCAGCTGTAGGAATCATACTGATCAAAAAGCCAGAGCTCGTGAAGATGAGGGGGGGTTCCCTGGATTCAGGTCCCACGTTTGTTTCGTAGCCCGATTACCCAAAACCCAAAACCCCAAACCCTGGGCCCACAAAAGGGGACCCCTTTCTGCCCCTTATAGGTTGAAAGGAGGTAAGGGACAATACGCCGAGGCTTCCGGTAGAAGGCGGATGGGCAGCGGGTTTAGGGTTTAGGGTTTTAGGGCTCCCCATGAGGCAACCCCTTTTGGGACCTTTTTGTCTGGAATGGGTACCCCCCTCGACAGGTGTGCGGGTGCAGCAGCATCAGGGACTGACCAAAGGGCCACCCTCAAATCCGCCCCACCCCTAAACCCGAAACATTAAACCCTAAACGCTAAATCTTAAACCCTAAACCCTAGACCATAAAGCCCACCCCCACCCCACCTGCACCAACCCCCTCGGCCCATCCCTCCCCCCATGCCAACCCCACCCGTTATCCTCTTCATGTTGTTCCTTAATTTTTTTGTGGTGCGGTCTCTTCCAACTCCTTCCTCTTCTTGCTGGCGCTATTCTGCATGCATTCCGCGTCCACTGGTTGCCTCCATGGTTTCAGGGCTCAAGCTTCAGGCACACTTGCGCCATGCGTACTTGGACGAGATATGCCCCCCCCCCCCCCTCGAAGCTGTGCTGGCCCCGGCCGAGGCGGGTCGCGTAGCGTTAACATAAGCGCCCATGTAACTACCCTTAGCCCTTTAGGGCAATTTGACCTATCCACAGGTGAGTCGCGATGGGGTACCCCCTAGCCCCATGACAAGATTTAGAGTTTTAGAATAGGGTTTTAGGGTTTGGGGTTTTGAGGACTACCAGGCTTGTTTACAAGCATACTTTGGCGCCTCGTACGACCACAGTCGCACCAGCGTCAGCCGCCTCAGCTGCTGAAATGCAGTAGCAATCGCTTTGCAGCCTAAACCTTAAACCCTAAACTCTAAACTCTAACCCATAAACCCTAAACTCTAACCCTAAACCCTAAACCCCAAACCCTGAACCCTCAACCCTCAACCCTGACTAGCAACCCCTGGAGCCCCCAGCTCGAGGCGCAAGCAGCCCTTCCCAATCCAAAATCACATTTTGGAGGTTTAGGGTTCAGGGTGTTGTTCTGAGTCAAATCAACCCTATAACCCTAAACCCTTCCCGAGACCGTGCACTAACAACGAAAAGGAAAGGGGTAGTAATAATGAAAGACTTCGGGGCACTAAGAACGTAAGGCTTTGCGGCATTAGCAACGTATCCCTGCTTGAGCCCAAGGGAATGACCCTTTTGAAGAGGAGAGGAAGGAGGACCTCAAATATAGATAGATTCCACTCGCTAGAATCCATCAGTGCTCTTTTTGTTACACGTGAAGCTTCGCTGGCACGATCTCGGCAAATCCTGTACAGAAAGGCTCCAGGTCTAAGAAGCTCTAGAAGACGTATCCTGTCTCAGGAACACACTGCAGGATCAGGCATGCTTTCTGGCCACGGACAAAATACGAGCAGC